CGGGGAAAGACCGAAATTTCCGGTTCCAGGCTTTGGCATCGCGAGCGCCTAAACGGTCAATTAGATGAACATCAGGATAGTTGCCGACTGGGCAACTACTCCGTATTGCGGTTGGTATAATAACGTGCTTTGCGTTGGTCACTGTTTCTCTCCGTTGACAACCTTGAAATGATACTTTCTACGGGCTACATGTATGCTATTTCAGTTTCGCGCATTCAAACGTCAAATTTCCATCCATAAGAGTAAAAATCCCGAACTTTCACGGTTAGTAATATTATTCCGTGAGGAACATGCATGAGCTGGGGTATATACCACACCTATCACTACCTGATATTCCAATTGTGCAAAGCCCACAAAGCCCACAAAGCCCACCATGGCCGGCCTGACAAACCCAGTGAGCGATGCTTAAATGCTTAACTTCCAACTAGCCCGTGTGGCCACCGCGGAGTGAGCATCTATACAAGAACACACCCATATGTATAGATATATATATATTTTCTGACACTAGACATTGCCATAACCCAAAAAAACCCGATAGGGATCTCAAAAGGTCAGGATATTACTACCCACCCATGTTGCATGCCGTCCGCCTTTCATGCGTCATACGCCGCCGTTCGTTCACGCTGCCTTTCATTCAGGCTCATCAGGGGGGCTGCCCCCCGGATGAATGAAAGCCGGTCATTCATACGGTCTTTCATTTATGGCTCTTTCATTGCTGACGCTGCCGTTCATTCATGGCTCGTCGGAAAGCCGCTCATTCATGCCGTCACAAATCGAGTGGATAACGAGAGAGGTAAGCCCATGCTCTCTATTTCCAGAGAACTTCGGTGGCTGTACCTTCCTCACAGTGAATTACATAACATAGTTATCTTTCGACATAAACGGTGTTTATAGGAGGACGGAATGCAGGCCTCGCGAGTCATGCAGTTGAGATAGTGATCTCGCTGTGGTCACTGTACCTGCAGATGATTTGAAGGTGGACCGAATTTATCTGTGTACTCACGAGGCAAATCTAGGTACTGTCGAGTCGGCGTATGTTTTGGAAACCGAGGCTAAAATCAACCGTCGTCGAAGCGTGTTTTATGCATGAGGCACTAATCGACTCTATAGTCAAGGGGTGAGTAGACTAGATCCCTCTGTGAAATTTCGTTCCCCTGGCTAGCCAGCGGCCCTACTCCATTGACTTCAATTTGCATTATTCGATTATCTGCTCAACACTTTTTTCAATAAGGGGTGGAGGAAATAATCGCCGAATTACGACGTTAGCTTAAAGAGTAACAACGGCTCCGAGAAGCGGCAAAGCGCCACTAGGGAGAGGCAGAACGGCTACTCCACCCAAACGCATGCACTATTTGGACTTTCAATCGCTGCCACGTCTGTCTCAAGCGATCCGAGTTGAGACGGATACGGTCCTTACGACTTAGGGAGAGGAGACCGACCGTTTAAACTAACTTTGGCCCTAGCGTAAAGCTCCCTTTAAAACCAGAGAAAAATCCAATTTTTAGTGAGCGCTACGGCGTCCCTTACACAAATGAACCTAAACTATTTCACTACTCGACGCTTACTTACAAGCTCTTCGCGCCTTCTCCAACCGCCGTTGATCTGCGCAAGAATCTCCACTTCGATCCTCCTTAATGTCCAAAGACATTCTGGAAAGCTTGCCCAGAGCCATGTCTGTGGAGCTTCTTGGTCCATCCGAATCGCCAACTCGGAAACCCCGATTCCTAAATCCCGATTTCCTTCTTTTGCCTAATGAAGTACTGCTCCTCGTTGCAAATTTTTTAGAGAGAGAAACCGACATAAACTCATTGGCTAAGACCAACCGGCGGTTTTATTCTCCCCTCAATCCATACTTATACCGACGTAATTCACTACAGTCTGGAAGTTCGGCGCTGCTATGGGCTGCCCAAGAAGGAATGGCGGCGACGGCTCGAACCTGCGTTTTGGAAGGAGCTAACGTTGAGGCGATCAATAGCCATGGCAGAACACCGCTATTTCAGGCTGCGGTGGAAGGCCACGAAGAGGTGTTGAAGCTGTTACTGGAGACTGGGCGGGTAGATGTGGACTCGAAGGACTCGGATGATCGCACGCCACTATCTGTGGCTGCGGGGCATGGTTACGAGGCGGTAGTGAAGCTGTTGCTTGCGACTGGGCGAGTGAATATCGACTCGAAGGACAGGTGTTATCGCACGCCATTTTTTTGGGCTGCGGCGAGAGGCCACGAAGCAGTGTTGAAGCTGTTACTGGAAACTGGGCGAGTGAATGTCGACTCAAAGGACCCGTTTGATCGCACGCCACTATCCGTGGCTGCGGAGCAGGGCCACGAGGCAGTGGGGAAGCTGTTGCTTGCGACTGGGCGAGCTCAAAGGATATGTATGATCGCACGCCATTGTTTTTGGCTGCGATGGAAGGCCATGAAGCTGTGATGAAGGTCTTACTGGAGACTGAGCGGGTGAATGTGGACTCGAAGGACTCGGATGATCGCACGCCGCTATCCGTGGCTGCGGAGCAGGGCCATGAGGCGGCGGTGAAGCTGTTACAGAGGCCCTGAGTCGGGACGGCAGCATGTCGTGTGTGGTCTACTGCGTATTCTTTTTTCTTTTTTTTTTAAGCTGTACATGAACGTACTGCACAGCCTAC